CCAAACCAATGCGGCGCTCAGCAACCCCATTCTGCTGTGGAGAGGCCGGAAGCGTGAACGACTGGCGGATGCCGTGCTCTGCACAGTAGGCTGCCAAGAGGTCAGAGGAGAACTCACCACCTCTGTCAGAGTGCAGACGCAGGACAGGAAAGTCCGAGTGGAACCGCTCACTGAGCTGGAGACGAGAAGCGCGGATCCAAGGGATCAAAACATCAGGGACCTCACCCTTGGTGCGCAAGGGGAAGACCGTGGTGTAGCGCGAGTAGTCGTCAACAACGATCAGGAAGTACCTCTCCTGACCCTGTCCACGGACGCGGGCTGGGCCCCACACGTCCATGTGGAGCGTCTGCAAGGGAGCAGTCGTCGGGGAAAACGAGGAGGAGTGAGGAGCGGCGCGCTGCCGCCCCTCGACACAGGGAAGGCAGGGAGGAGCAGGCGAGGGTGGGAGTGGAGGGAGAACCCTGGGAAGACCAGAGACAAGGTACCGGTTGTGCATGGCACGAAGGCGCTGCACTGACGGGTGACCAAGACGGTGGTGCCAGAGGACAGTCTCGTGTGCCAGAGAGCGACACGAGCAGGGGGCAGACAGCTGACCTGACGCAGACGCAGACGCAGCTACCTGTGGGGACTCAGTGGTCAGTGTGTACAGGTCCGACCCCGGCTGCCGAGTAAAGGTAGCCAGGTGGCGGCCCGTCCGAGCGCACGTGCAGTGTGTCACACGCTCGTAGGCAGGGGTAAACTGGTGGACACCCCCATCCTGGAGCGCACTACCCGCCACCAAGTTCGTAGAGAACGAGGGGAGGTAGAGACCTGACAGAGTGCCCGACGGGACCACAGGACAAGGGAGAACAGTAGAGGAGGTCGCAATGACCGGACCCCCAGAGGGGTCAGCGAGGGAGACTGCAACCGGCCGAGCAAGCTGCTCAAGGGCAGTGCGGTCACGAAAGAAACAGCGGGAAGCGCCTGAGTCCAGTGTGAAGGTGTGCAGTGCCTCAGTAGACGCAGTACTAGAGGGCGCAGACTCACGAGTACCTAGAGCAGCAGCCTCACCAGCACCTGGGGCAACAGACACACGAGCACCTAGTGCAGCAGCCTCACCAGTACCTAGAGCAGCAGACTGGATACCGGGGTCAGGCGGCACACACAGGTGACAGGCACTCTCAGCACTAGTAGGAAATGCATACATGGCAGTGAGGATAGCATCATAGTCAAGAGCATAGATATCTACCCTCTGCCTAAGCAGCTCCACCCAGTCGGGGAGCTCAGCCGCGTCGCCAAACTCTGTACGCCAGGCGTCGCTCAGACGGGCGAAGCAGCGGGACTCTGTGTGACCAAACGTCCCGCAAGGCTGACCAGTCCGAGCACCAGTGCGAATGACGTACGGGCAGCGAGCAGTACCCCGTGACCCTCCACGCTGAGCGTACCACTCACGAAGCTGCTGGGGCGTGAGGGACTCACTCGGACGTCGCGGGAGCTGCATCTGGCCACCGCCAGGAGCAGCAGTAGCAGTAGTAGCAGCAGTAGTAGTAGCAGCAGCGCGGCCACCCCTACAACCCCAACCAGCATACCACTCACGAAGCTGTTGGGGCGTGAGGGACTCACGCGGACGGCGCTGGAGCTGCATCTGGCCACGCCAGGAGCAGCAGTAGAAGTAGAAAGAGCAGTAGCAGCAGGAGCAGCAGTAACAGCAATACGGGCAGGGCAGTGCTCACCAGTGGCGAGAAGGGCAGGCGTACGACGGTGGTAACGGCGAGGCCGCTACCACTGCAGGGCGAGGGCTCCGCGGCAGCTGCAGGGGCGGCTGCTCCAGGGGCCAGGGGCGGCTGCAGAGGTCCAGGGGCGGCTGCTGCAGGGGCGGCTGCTGCAGGGGCGGCTGCTCCAGGGGCGGCTGCTCCATGGGCCAGGGGCAGCTGCTCCCCTTTTTTTTTTTTTTTTTTTTAAATAATTAATTATTTATTTTAGGGTTTGGCAGAGCGCACTCGGCGCTGCAGAGGCGGCTCGCGGGCTGCAGGGTGGCTCGGGCAGCAGCGAGGGGGGGGGGGGCGGCGCGCGGCTCCCCAGGGCGCCGCGACGGGGCAGCGGGGGGGGGGGGGGGGGGGGGGGGGGGGGGGCGCGCGCGGCTCCCCAGGGCGTCGCGACGGGGCAGCGGGGGGGTCGCGCGTGGCTCCCTAGGGCGTCGCGACGGGTCAGCGGGGGCCGAGCGCGGCTCCCCAGGACGTCGCGACAGGGCAGCGGGGGCCGAGCGCAGCTCCCCAGGGCGTCGCGACGGGGCAGCGGGGGCCGAGCGCGGCTCCCCAGGGCGATGCGACGGGACAGCGGGGGTCGCGCGCGGCTCCCCAGGGCAGCGCGACGGGGCAGAGGCAGCGCCCACGGGCGACACGCGGCTCGGCAGGGCAGCGCGCTGGCTGCAGGGGCGGCTCTCGGGCCTGACGGGCCTGCAGAGGCGGCTCGGGGGGGCCTGACGGGTCTGCAGAGGCGGCTCGGGGGCCTGACGGACCTGCAGGGGCGGCTCGAGGGCCGTACTAGCTTGCAGGAGGCAGCGCGAGGGCTGCAGGACGGCACATGGGCAGACCGAAGGGCGGGTCGCACGGGGGCGCACGAGGGCGCACGTAAGGTAGGGCGCACGAGGGCGCACGAGGGCGCACGAGTATAGAAAGGCGCACGAGGGCGCACGTAAGGTAGGACGCACGAGGGCGCGTCTAGCGGAATAGTGGGCCCGTAGGAGAAAGCGGTCCTAGGTAGCAACCTAGGCTCGTGATACCATGTTAGAATGTAGAACTGAACGAGAATGTGTGAAACTAGGCAGCAGGGTGATACAAGTAGGAAACCCTAGCAATATTGTACCCCCTAAGGCTAAACCCACTATAGCCTACACAATATGAACATGTATAATGTTTGACAGGGGTGTCAGTAGATCTGCACTGTGGATGCCCGATTGATCCTGGAGAGGGTTACAGGCGCGTTCGCCTGGGGGGTTATGGGCGCACTGACGCGCTACTGGTACAAGCCCTTTTATCCCAGTGGTCTAATGGCTGGGATTCTGACAACCTTCACCATAGTCCCACCCCTCAAACCGCTGCAAGCCCTTGCATTTAGGCAGCAGTCGCGCCAATAGATTCCTACCTTCAGCCTTAACCGTATCCCTGCTTCCGTCCTCAATGGGCCTACCTTTCCCTGCTGACCTAGAGCAACTGCTTGTTTCCATGCCCATCTCATCTCGCCTTCGTGACGTGCCCTCGCCTGCATGCCTCCTTTCCAAACTCTTTCCCCCGTCGTCTCCTCGCACCTCACTCTTGAAAAGATCCACAACGTCTTTCCCTATGGTGTCGAAAAGAGTCCCTCCACGCCACTAGGCCACAGCACGCCCAAGCGAAGCGCCGACAGAGAAACAGAGCCCCATGCCATGGCATGGAAGCAACGCAGGCCGTGCCAAGCACGCAGGTCCAGCGGCCGCTGCAAGACCCTGTGTCAGAATCCTAGCTAGAACTTAGTAGCCATAGCTAGGGTTTAGAGTACACGAAAGAGAAATGGAAGAAGAGAGTTTGAACTAGAAAGGAGAGGGATACAAATAGCAAGCCCAAAAGGGTTATACTCGCTATCGAGTACCCCACTACAGACTAGACAAGCATAATATTCTGACACACCCCCATAGTCAAAGTGGGGTATAATCAGCACAGCAAGCAGTCATACAGCAGGTTCACAAGTACAAGCAAAGCTAGAGGCATTCACAAAGGGCAAGTGAGGAGGAGGAGGCGGGACTGTGAAAGGAGAGGAGATAGGAGGCGACGGCTGAAGCTGCAGACACACGGGCAACAGGAGCGGCGCGCACGATGGCTACCGGAGCAAAGGGCCCCGGGCTACAGGAGTAATTGGCTCTGCGGCTAACTCTGAGCGGCAGGAGCAACGGACCCACGGGCGACTTACGCAGCAGGCTCTCTGGGCTACCAGCGGCAGAGCCCCGGACTATAGGTGCTGCGGACGACAAGACGGTTGCCTCCACTCAACCTCCCCCAACTGTCCCACCCCCCTTTTCACACACCCCTTGCTGCACCCCTAGCTCCACTCCCACGTCACCCCCCTAGCGCCACTCCCTCGGCTCCCACACATCTACCCCCCTCAGCGGCAGCTGCAGCAGTGGGAGAGAAAGGAGGAGGAGGGAAAAGTGGTCACGCACTCCCGTCACCCCCATAACCGCCACCCCAATGCCCTGGGTGTGCGGTAAGCGAGCTCAGGTGTGCGCGAAGTGAGCGCAGGCGTGCGGGAAGCGAACTCGGGTGTGCGGTTAACCGAACTCAGGAAGGGCGCGCGTGGGTCCCCCAAGGCGCCGCGACGGGCGACGGGATGGCGGGGGGGGGCGCGCGTGGGTCCCCCAGGGGCGACGCGAAGGTCGACGGGGGGGACGCGCGGGTCCCCGGGGGCGGCGCGACGGTCGACGGGGAGGGACGCGAGGGTCCCCGGGGTGACGCGACGGTCGACGGGGAGGGACGCGCGGGTCCCCGGGGACGGCGCGTCGGTCGACGGGGAGGGACGCGCGGGTCCCCGGGGGCGGCGCGACGGTCGACAGGGGGACGCGCGGGTCCCCGGGGTGACGCGCGAGGCAGTAAACCGCCGCGCGCCGTGGGGCGCACGGCGGGCAGAAAACAGCCGCGCGCCCCGAGCGCGCGGCGGGCAGAAAACCGCCATGCGCCCCGAGCGCGTGGCGGGAAGAAAAAACGTCGCGCGCCACGGCTCGCGCGACAGACAGGACAGCAGCGGAAGCAGGTGGGCCCACAGGCCAGGAGCGATCTCGCTCTGATAGCATGTCAGAATCCTAGCTAGAACTTAGTAGCCATAGCTAGGGTTTAGAGTACACGAAAGAGAAATGGAAGAAGAGAGTTTGAACTAGAAAGGAGAGGGATACAAATAGCAAGCCCAAAAGGGTTATACTCGCTATCGTGTACCCCACTACAGACTAGACAAGCATAATATTCTGACACCCTGATTTCCCTCCACTCAAGGGCCTACACTGTTGCTATAACACCGGGAGGGAAATAAGCAGCCTCCTCTGGCTGCATGTTGGTGCAGAGGGATTCAAGCGAGGTGAGGTGAGGCGCGTGCAGCGGCCAATGGGAGGGTCGGTCGCTGCGAAGGAAGAGGGATGTCAGGTGCGCGGGGCATGTGGGGAGCAGGAGCAGGCGGGAGTGGCGAGACTTCCAGGGAAAGCCGAGGTCAGTGAGATTAGGGGCGGAGAGTGAAATGGAGCAATTGATCCCATGAAATCTGACATTGGTGGCTAGCGGGAGGTGAAGCGAGTACAAATTTCGTTCGTCCATGTCCCCTTCACCCCCCCTCCGCCCTTCCGCGTTGTCACCGCTTTCAGCACCCTCCTTGCCCTCCTGAGCCGCGAACTGATCTGCAGCGCCGAGTGAGAGATATTGAAGCTGGGCAGAGAGGCACGAGACAAAGCGGAGGATGAGAGGCGAGCAGGCGGGGAGGGAGAGACTGAGGTGGGACAGCACGGGAAATGGTATGTCCGTGTCACCCGGCTTCTTCTCCTCTATGACTGAAATCATCTCCCACATTTCGGCCACCAGCACTGCGTCGTTGCAATGGAGCCGTGGAATGCCGTGGTCGCTGTCCGAAGCAACGCCATGCGTAATGAGAAGTGACTCGAGACGCGGAGCTTGCGAGAGGGATAAGAGAAGGCGTGGATTGGAGTGGAGGCTTCGGGAGAGGTAGAGATCGAGGGAGGTGATGGAGGAGATGGAAGGGAACAGGCAGGAGCGCAGGAGGGAGGAAAAAAGGCGGGGAGGCGCTTCAGTGAGAGAGTAAATAAATTGGGAGGGGCTTGGGTGCTGGTTGCACAGCCATGCGAAGCTGCGGATTTGTTGAGGTAAGGAGACGGCGGAGGGCGGGCACTGGCATTCTTCATAGAACACGAGAGACGTGTCGTAGCCTAATAGAGCACGTCGCACGCACGACATGGCGATGGCGCACGCCACAAGAGGCCACGAGCAGCAGCACTCTCCTCTCTTCACCACCATATTTGCGATGCGCACCCACACGTCCGCGGGTACGGCGTTCAGGTCCGCGTATCGAAACTCCGCCACGGGCTTGCTGTCGAGAACTTGGCGCGCCTCTGCCGCGCCGAGCACTCCGCATTTCGATCGGTTTGCGCGCGGAGGGGTGACGAAGGACAGCCCATTCTGTACTCGTTCCCCCTCCTCCCCTTGCTCATCCTCTACTTCGGCCTCCACTATCGCCCCTCCTACTTCCTCCTCCAACTGCTCACACAAGTTAGTCTTCCTCCTCAACTTCATCCTGCTCCGTGCTTTTCTCGAGATAGCGGTATCCTTGCCACCAGCCGCGTCACACCAGCGAAGTAAATTCACTGAAGTTACAATTGTTCTACAAAGTAGACAAAATTTATAGTTTCAGCTTCCAGTGCTGGAAAGAACCTCAGTCATATGCTTGAAGCAGAAGGACAGCAGGCATATGCACGCAAAAAAAAAACTCGTCGAATTCAAAGTGGGCCCGATCCCACGGATATTTTCGCGCCAAGGCGAAGTGTCAAGGATCAGGATGATGCAGACGGTCTGTGGCTGACACACTGCGACGTTGTCAGTGAGTTTGAGATCTTTCGTTGGGGAAACGAGCTCGATTACGCCCATGGAGAAGATGTTGGCGATGAATTTGGCAGCATTCGGTTCGCCAGGGTTAGGTGCTGGGCACGGAAAACACTAGCAGCAAGTTCGTCGCGCAGTGTGATGTGTCAGTGCGATGGGTAGTGTTGCCCGAGATACAACGCAAGGACAGCCTCGCCATCACGTGTTTCACGGCCCGATGACTCTGGTACAATTCTTTTGCACATCAGCTTTACAGCACTATGTGCAATCATGTATAATGCATGATGCCTGCATTGAACTCTGGGAGAATATGCCACTAGTAACCAACATGGGACTCGATAACGTGAATGGTAAAAACGTAACGCGTACGGTCACTGTATCGGGTTTCTTGGCGGGTTTGGTAAGTGGGGTCACGGATTCAGTCACTAACAACAATTAGAAAATCACGTGAATGGTCACAGATGTAACTCCCGCCAAAACATCTTGAAACTCTGCAATATTCCCGCTCGCGCCCAGCCAATCAGCTAACTTGTAAAAAACCTAAAACCCAATCGGAATCGGATGCGTTTCGGGAACGGATCAACCCTAAACCAGGGCTGTTTTTATCAGGGTAATTACCCTGATTTCAGGGTGATTTCAGGCTTTCCACTTAGTGGAGACTGAGATTTCAGAATTTATGTGTTCTCAACACTGATCCAATCAGAGTAGTAGTTTTCCTATCCCTGATTTTGAGTATAGTGTAACAGGATTTCCTGTTAGTGGACCCTGACTTAAAAGACTATCGACTTTGTGGTCCCTGAATTTGACCTTATCGAGAAGAAGCTTCTCGGAAATTTTGTTCCAATAACCCCGCCTTCGGATTGTTCGCAGTACAGCCAGCGCGTGAGCGACCCCAAATAAGACATTATCGGGACGACGTTTCTTCGAACTTTCGTTCCGACACACTAACCATCAGGGTCGTACTGCGAGTTTCCAGGAAACATTGTACGAGTACCCATGTGCTGTTAAGAATAGAACTAGGAAGGAATGATTGAACTAGGCAGAAGGGGAGTACAAGTAGGGGAAACCTAACCCTAAAGTGTTGTACTCAATAATGAGTGACCCTACTACAGCCTAGAGATACAATCGTAATTTGACACACCCCCATAGGCAAAGTAGGGGATAGCAAACACAACAAGCAGTCACAAGACCAGTCTGCAGAAGAGAACACACCTCAGGGTGGATCATAAGGTCACCACACATTCTGAGCACAAGCAAGTGGCCACAAGGCCAGTTCACATGCAGAGGTAGATAATAGCAAGGCAGTACACTGATCACAACCTAGCAAGAGAAAACATGCAGGTATAAAGATATATATAAGTGTACAACAAGAGCAAGTCAAGCAACCAGCAGGTGAGGCAGAGTGGGCACAAGCCCAAGAGCAGTGCAGAAACGCTGATGTTCACCAGACCCAATGGCCTTGGTGAAAACATCAGCAGTGTTGGCCCGAGAGGCCACGTAAGCAAGTCTCGCCTGACGACGCTGCTGCAGCTCACGCGCAAGGAAGTAGCGAAGAGCAATGTACTTCGTTCTGTGCTCGAGTCTCTGCTCGCGACACAAGGCAAGCATTGCCTTGTTGTCGACGTACAGAACTGGAGGAGAACGAGGCCGCTCCCCCAAGTCGGTCAGAAAGTAGGTCAGCCAGCGAAGCTCCTGTGCAGCCATGGCCCCAGCGTAGATCTCGGCCTCACAGCTAGAACCCAGCATAGAAGAAGAACGAGTGGACCTCCACGAGACAGAACCAGAGCCAAGACTGAAGGTGTAACCCTCTGACGAACGCTGAGTCGTCTGGTCGTCGGCCCAAGAAGCGTCAGAGTGTCCTGTGAGGACCACTGTACTCCGTCCTCCAAGCACGAGCCCCATGCCCGATGTACTGCACAAGTAACGCAGTACCCTCTTCGCAGCATCAAAGTGCACCTTTCGGTGTCTACCAGGAGCCTCGTAGCGAGGCAGAAGGCTGAGAGGGTACGCGAGGTCGGGTCGTGTGCACGTCATCAGGTACATGAGGCAGCCCACAAGCTCTGGGTACGGACCACTCGGCTCTACGGACTCGTCCGAAGGTGGAGCTGAGAGCGAGTGGCCGGTAGACAGAGGGGTGGGCTGTGGCGAGGACCACGTGAAGCCAAAGCGCTGAAGGACCTGGTGCACTATGTGTGACTGCGTCAGGGTGATGGTTCGCCGTGCTCTGTCCCGGGTGATCTGCAAGCCAAGACAGCTCCGCAGCTCACCCAGGTCAGTGCAGGTGTGTCTCTCCTGCAGCTCCGTCTTCACGCGGACAAGTGCCTCAGTGTCAGCAGTAGCAAAGACCAAGTCGTCGACGTACACGAGGATGTAGAATGGTGGCAGAGTGGTGTCAGTGCGCAGAAACAGCGACGGGTCAGCAGTGGAAGGAGCAAACCCAAGAGCCGCAAGTGTCGTCCTCAGTGTGTCGTGCCACTCGCGGGGTGCCTGACGCAGGCCGTACACTGGTCGCCGTAGGCTCCACTGGGTACCCGCAGGAAACGACCTAGTGAAGCCCTGTGGACGGCGCAACCAAATGGCCTCGTGAAGGCTACCCTGCAAGAACGCTGTCGAGAAGTCGAGGGAGTGCAGCTCGTAGTCACGCTGCGCTGCAACGTGTAGCAACACCCGAAGAGTGGTCATCTTTGGGGTGGGGGAGAAGGTCTGAAAGAAGTCGACTCCCTCACGCTGACTGAAACCTCGAGCAACGTAACGTGCCTTGAAGGCAGGCGGAGAACCCGGCGGCCACTTCACCCTGAAAATCCACATGCCACTGACGATGTTCGCCCCAGGTGGGGGAACCTCATCGACGTAGGTGCCTGTGGACTTCCAGGAAGCCATCTCTGCGTCCATGGCTGTCTGCCACTGAGAGGAGTACTCACCCGAAATCGCCTCTCTGTAAGAGCGTGGGGTGGGGATGTCAAGTGCATCCGGGTCTCCCTCAGGGGCAAGCAGCATGGTAGCGAAACGAGGTACAGCGGCCGCAAGGCACTCCAGCTCCTCCTACTTGTCCTCAAGGACGTCACAGCCAAGGGCAGTCTCACCCCCGACGGACGGAGGACAGGCAGGGTCAAGGTCAGAAACGAGACTCGCAAGGTAGTCTAGGCGGTACACAGCAGCAAAGTCAACTAGCTCAGCGACTAAGGCAGACGCAGCAGGAGACGAGAACGTAGGGTCCGTCACAACCGTAGCAAGAAAGCGAGTAACAGTCGGACTGGACGCACGAGCAAGGTCAGACGGAGGGTAAGCAACGTCAGGAAGAGAGGACGCAGGAGGTAACGGCAGGACAACACACTGTGGAACATAGGAATGACGGAGTGTCATATCGTGAGTGCCGGGGACAGCCGGGGCACGCGGACGACGAACACGAGGAACACGAGCACGGACAGCAGCTCTAGGCTCAGGCTCAGGGTCAAAGCTAGACTCAGGCTCGCGTCGCTCAGGGGTGGAAGCACGAGTCTCAGGCTCTCGACGCTCAGTCAGGGACAATGTCACCGCAGTGTAAGGAGCAGGAGCAGGCAGTGGGGAGTGCGGTAGCAGCTGTGGCTGTGACTGGTCCGCTGGTGGAAACAGTAACGGAGGAGTAGTACCTGCCACAGGGAAGTCAGTAGCACCTGGCTGAAGACTGAGAAGGTGGCGAAGAGCACCAGCAGCTCCTACAGTACCTCTAGCACCAGCAGCAGGAGCAGCAGCTCCAGCAGGACCAGCAGCTCCAGCACCTCCAGCACCTCCAGCACCTCCAGCAGCACCAGCGGCTCCAACACCTCTAGGACCTCCAGCTCCACGTCCTCTAGCACCAGCACCAGGACCAGCACCTCCAGCACCAGTAGCTCCAGCACCTCCAGCACCAGCAGCACCTCCAGGACCTCCAGCACCAGCAGCTGGAGCAGCAGCTCCAGCAGCACCAGCAGCTTTAGCACCTCCAGCACCTCCAGCACCTTCAGCAGTACGAGCAGCTCCAGCACAGCACCGCCAGCACCAGCAGCTCCAGGTCCTCCAGTAGGAACACCCACGGTGCCACCACCAGAAGGACTCGCAGCACCCCCAGAGTTAGCACCCGAAGTCTCAGCACCCCCACAGTCAGCACCCGAAGTCCCAGCACCCTCAGTCCCAGCACCCTCAGTCTCAGTACCCTCAGTCCCAGCACCCCCAGGCTCAGTACCCTCGGTCTCAGTACCCTCGGTCTCAGCTCCAGTGTCCACAGCAGAAGGCTGCAGAGGCGGCGAAGACGGCAGAGGTGGGAAACCGGGGGGGGTAGCCAAACGAGGAGAGCGGACACCCCCAAACGCACCACCCCCAGGCCCAGCTCCAGCAGTCTCAGCTCTAGAGTCCACAGCAGCAGGCTGCGGAGGCGGCGAAGACGGCCGAGGCGGGAAACCCGGGGGGGTCTCCAAGCGAGGAGCGCGGTGAGTGGTCGCCGTGTCGTCGGCAGCGGTGTCATCCCCCTCAGCTGGGTCACAGGAGTCAGAAGAGAGCTCCACTGGCTCATCCAAGGGGGGTGGGTCTACCTGAGACACATCTGAGGGAGCAGGACCCTGTGGGAGAAGGGGGTCTACCGGGGGGGGGGGGGGACTGGTTCCAGGAAGAGGGGTGCAAGGGGGACCGGGTGGGACGCATGTGGGTGAAGGCGGTAGTAACAGACCGACTCGTCGAAG